TCATCACTGCAGGAACTCCTGCTAGCAGCCGTCACTGCAGGAACTCCTGCTAGCAGTCATCACTGCAGGAACTCCTGCTAGCAGCCATCACTGCAGGAACTCCTGGTAGCAACCAGTCATCACTGCAGTAGATCTTGGCAGCACCCAGTCATCACTGCAGGAACTCCTGCTAGCAACCATCACTGCAGGAACTCCTGATAGCAACCATCACTGCAGGAACTCCTGGTAGCAGTCATCACTGCAGGAACTCCTGGTAGCAGTCATCACTGCAGGAACTCCTGCTAGCAGCCATCACTGCAGGAACTCCTGGTAGCAGCCATCACTGCAGGAACTCCTGCTAGCAGTCATCACTGCAGGAACTCCTGGCAGCAGCCATCACTGCAGGAACTCCTGCTAGCAACCATCACTGCAGGAACTCCTGATAGCCCTCGGCGCCTGTAAAGATGACGTCGACCCAGATGCGCATTGCCTCGGGCGTCGGCGCCTGCAGGTAGTAAGTCCGGTCAAGCGTCTTCACGCAGAACGTCAGCTTCGGCTCGGGGCTGCGCACCGTGTGCAGGTGGTCGACGTACACCTCCGTGATCGCCTGGAAGTAGATGCCGCCGCGCGGCTTGCTCTCCGACTTGTCGGAGTAGTAGACCAGCGAGCGCTTCTGCCGGTCGAAGACGAACCAGCGGCGGTTCCACGTCTTGAACTTGGAGCCCATCTTGCTGAGGTAGCCGTGGCAGGTGGTCGCCGTGAGGCTGACGTGCGCGCAGCCGTCGATGTTGTGCCCGGAGCTCTCGATGTGCTGAGCAAGATCAAAGTCCTTGTTGCGCACCGGCAGGTAGCGCGTCAGCGGTCGACTCTGCAAGGCAAACATCGTAGCATGTAGAGTAGGGTTACTTATGCACAATGCTTGATATTCGCATATATATATTATAACCCGTACAGACTGCAAAATTTGATCCCAGATTAAACTGGGACGGGCCTGTCGCGCACCAAATCGTAGCGTACAGACATAAAAATTTGATCCCACATCAAATGGGTCATGGGTTGACTGTGCATACTCAGTTCAGCTCGCTACGCCACCCCGAAGACAGAGACCGTACTTTTATCTGACCTAAATAAGGCTATGCGCATGTGTATTGTGAAATTTGGCACGCGCTAGGTACCGGATTGCGTACAGACACAGCTCAGGCCAAGTTATCCCGAACTTGGCCCTCCTTCATTTGTGGGGCCAAATTGGTGCGGGCCAACGCGTATTTGGAGCAGGATACACACTGCAAAAATTTGAGGCGCGCCTGGCCCGGACTAGTTTAATGTGGTATAAAATTTGCAGTCTGCACGGTGTATTAGTTACACATGCAAGCCAGATCAGGCTGCTGCAGACTCATTCTTGAGAATACGTACAATAAATGATCATCCCTAACCAAATTAGATACTATATTTTACTCGAAGATGGTTTAGAAGACGTCTAGAAGTTTAAAAATGTACAAAAAATGATCATCCCTAACCTAATTAAATACTATCTTTTACTAGAAGATAAGTTTGAAAAAGTGTAGAAATTTAGAAGATGACAGTAGCTAGAAGATTCGCCGAAGCCATGCACATGCTCACCTGCTGCGCACTGTTCTGGTTGCGCTTCTCTCTCAGCTTCACTTCTGCCGAAATGATCTCCTCTCTTCGCAGCGTTTCCTCGATGAGCCTTCTCTCCAGCTCCTCCCTGCGCTCCCTCTCCTCTTGTAGAGCCAACATCTCAGTCTCACGCTGCTGCACCTAAGCAAACATAAACGATGGAAAATCGTTAAGCCACAATTAAAAAAATATTTGTTTGCCCTCACCCGACCCAGGCTGAAATGTTTGGGTAGGTAGGTAGGCTTCTTTTTTTTGAGGGGGGTCATTTTACAAATTCAGCATGGTGTCTACATGCTCGGGTGTGCTTGTGTTGAGATACCTTTTAAATGTTGAATGTTTGTTTTGCTTGGTACATATAATGTATTGCCTACAGCTTCATACAATGTACAGTGATACAATTTAAAAAAAATAAAAAAATAATAATAATAACAATGGGAAAGATCAATACAATTGTTTGAGTCGGCCCCGTTTTGGCAGGTCGGTGGGGCGAGGGCAAACAAACAATATTTTTATTATGGCCAAATAAATAGCACATGCTAAGATAGCTTTTGACCATTTTCATACCTTGCCATGTGCGAACCAATGCATAGGAGCAAGTGAAAAAGCCACAAGTCGAAATAATTAAGCTGCTAGCCACTATCCCGAGCATACTCATACTACCTAAAATTATCATAATACTCCCGTTAGGGAATTGTAGTCGCCTCGTGTTTACAATCTGAGTTTAGAGTTGATGGCAGGCAGATTACTTCATTCCGCATAATCGACTTTACCAGCCAACCGTTCAAACAGACGACAGTTTGCGATACCTATCTAAGAGGCTGAACTATATAATACCAGCATATCTTAAAAATAATTTTTTCTCCTAGCGGAGCAATATTTTAATAATGATGGGCTTAGAAATCTTTGGCTGCTACAAACGCTAGAATTTTCGTGATCAGTCGCGCAGTAATAAATTCACAATCGTTATTTGCTAGGTAGCATAGGTGCTTATATTGTACCACCAACTCACAAAGAAGGCAGTAGTGGAGAAGTCAGGGTTGGGTCAGCAGAAGGAACACAAACACTTTCCCTAACCGTTCGATAATTACATTGCTTTGATCACCTTTGATCACTTTTGCATCTATCAAATGCGATTTTAATTTTCCATTGCATACCTTTGTTGGGTTTGCCTGACAGTGACAGTAGTCGATTATAGCGCATGTACACACTAGTTAATTGGTGAGGGTGTGAGCCGCTCCACTAGGCCATACCGTAATCTGATAATAATAGTTTCGGGACAAGGAACCATTTCGTCGCTGCTGGGTTTTAACTGCAAACAGCTATTTCCCAGCATCGAAAGAGCATAGTTGCCGATACCGCCCCTTATATTTTCTAGTCGAGTCTGTTTCATCGCATGCTGTGGCTCCAGCGTAGCCCCCCCCCACCCTTGTAGGATGAATCAGACGCACGAAGACGCCTCAGAATACAGTCGGTACATAAGTTCACGCCATTTTTCCTCAAACATTTACAAACAGAACCACCGATTCAGCTGCTCCGTACACAGCTAGCTTATACTCAACAACGACCCATCTACAAGCCTGGCAAAAAACACACCGATCCTTGAGCAGTTGAATAGATTAATTAGCATTATTAGTAAGAGGTCGCGACAGAGCTGTAAACATAAGCGGCAACTGGTTTACGTCCAGCAATAATCCATCATTAGTCATAGTCACCCCGCGGTTCTAAGCAATCCCGTTTACTTGCATGAATACGACTAATAGGGGCCACGTATATATATATATATCCTATATATATTCAGTGTATGATGTGTATCACAAACACCCACACTCACGCGCTTCTAGCCCATACCCACGCACCTTTGGTTCTCACACACTTCTAGCTCTTACTCATGCACTGTTACAGCTATTATACTCACGCAATCTGAGCTGAAACGTGTGGCTTCGCGCGAGATCAACAGAAATGGGAGACCTAACATCACACCGCAGCATACACTACTTCGTCTTCTCATCGACTAGTCCGTGTCGGACGGCTAAGCACTGACCAAGAAGATTGTTTACGGAAAAAACGGGTAATAGCTGCGCAGAATCGCACTGTTATTTCGAAGAATTATTTCGAAGCGCTGAAAAGATTATTACCAGGCGTGCTCTCTCTCTGCGTTAACGTTCACCATGTTTGTGGGTCAGATACAAGCTAAATATTCTTTTGGGTTTCACAAAACATCCGTAGTCAATAGTACTTCTAAATCATAAAAAGCACCAACAACTGCTTCTCATTCTAACATGTCCACCTAACTACTGCCGTTACCAATAGATCATATCTGTTATTGTTTCTAAAATTTAAAATATCGCAAGTTTCTCTGTTGAGGACGTATACATGCCCAAGCATTTCGTTACACAAATAAAGCTATAGCCACTTTTTGTCGACGGTAATATGGGCCAAACAACGACAACCCTAATGTAAGCATCGACCATCCTAATTTAAGCAGTTCAATACTTCTAATCTGACGTTGTATAGTCCAACCGCTCTCTTAACCTGGCACTAATCGTGCCGTAGTGTCTTGGCAGTTCGAGAAGCGATAGCACTTAGCCTACACTGCCATTCTTCGACAGTGAGAGAAACAAGGACAACTCCCATGGCAGGAGGCGGTTTGTAAACACAGCGAGGTAACGAGACAGAGAGACGCATCGCAGAAACAAGAAACCAAAAGCCAACCGCCTAATTGTGCTACTAGGACGGGTCACCCGATCTCATACAAACACATTACGGTATAATATATGTGATCAATAATGCATACGGCGCGTGGCCGTGCACACACAAGCGGACAGTACGCTGTCATAATAAGCACGCTTATAGCTCTGAATAGAAATCTCACACCTCAATTTGTTCTTAAAGCCACGTAACTCTGTGCCACACAGTCGAAACATGTTATATAACAGGAAGCCAGGTTTCTTGTGCATGTTATTTTTATGTTAATATCTATAATTAACCTAATTTTTAACAATACGGTCAATATTAACCTTGCGCTATAACGGGCGGTCTACGTCAATATTCGTAGCTATTTTCAATTCGCGATTTACGGCGGGAACTTCCGCAGTTCATCGACAGACACGCGTATGATCAATGAATTTCACTATTATGCCATGCCTCATATGTAATGCTTACTAAAGAGAAAGAGCAATAAATCATTACACAAGATGTTTATTTGGAGGTCCTAGCTGCTGGCAATATATATTACTATAACATATACTTATCTCACAACTCATTACTACAGTAAGGATATAATATATATAGTAGCAGAGACAGCCCCTGATATAGTTTATGAGTAAGGAAGCACCGCTAACGAACTTGGCAGAGGAAACCACGATGATTAAGCGCTAAAATATCTGCATATTCACGTATTTGACATAAGAAACGTTGAAAGAGAATAAAAAATAGGTCAAAAGCGAATTATTACGAAGATATTTGCGGAGAAGAGTATTATGGAAATAGATCTAGAAATGCCATGTGTCTAATCCCGTGCACGTGAACGGACGCCTAAACAAGCACACGCGACTGACAGCAGTTTACTTTTCTGGACACTCCACGTGGCTCACCCGCAAGCTATAGATAGCTTAACGGGCTACCTTCCTGACTGCCGAGAGCTTACAATCACCACTGATGCATCTATATATGCCTTACTGCACACACACGCGCACGCACGACCCGAAATACCAATGTAGATCGTTCGTGTTTGCGTATTTTCTGGAGCCCCGTGCGTTCTTGCCAAGCAAGACCTGACACTGACAGCCACACACTGCTGCCCCCGAAAGCACAGCGACCACGGCAAACATCTCACAGGTCCGAATCAGAAGCGACAGCATGGAGACGGAGCCACGCACAATCCGACAGCCATACTTCTACAGGGGATGGCTGCCACATCGTATGTAAGGCGAAATACCACGTTAACTCAATTAATTCATCACCAGTAGTAGCAGTGGATTTGAGTGCTGCTATTGTAGAATGAATATTATCTCCTATAGAATGCATAGTATAATATCATATAGAATGAATAGTATATCCTATAGAATAAATAGTATATCCTATAGAATGAATAGTACAGTCGTGATTTATGTGCGGGCATACGAGTTATTGAGCACACGATTATCTCAGTTCAAAAATCGAGTTGTGTGGAAAGAAGACGATCACGCCATGAACATAGGGTACAGCAGATAGCACTAATACGTACTCCGATGTTACAGCATATCACCATAACTTGAAACAGTCTCGGTGACGTACGGCTGGGTAATAAATTCGTTTCACATACGCGATAGAGGCGATAATAATTTGTTCTCGTAGACATTCAAGTAAATATTAATACACTATACTATGGTCAAGTCAATAGATTAATGCAAAAACACTCGGATCAAAGCATTAATTGACACCACATCCCAGCCAGGGCCATACCTTCTAATTAAGAATAATGAAAGCGAAAATTCAGCTAGTCATGAATATGAATGAAAAGCGCCTAAATGCGACTGCATATCCTGCTGTGCATTACATCATAAACGCAGCTGCCGCCCCTATACAATAACCTACGTATCGCGAGTTCATTACAAGGAATGGCAGTGCGGCCGTAATGAGGATCATTTACATAGAGCTGTGACAACGTGACACAAGAGAGTACAATCAATGCCTAACAACTCTGAACGTGACTCACTGATAGGGCTGGACATACAGAGGACAACGGGTGGGCAGTAGACCTGTTGCCTTTTGTGCATCGTCCATGTGGCCGTCATCGGGAGTGAATAAAAAGTTACCCGTTTTTAATTACTCCTGCTGTCATCAATATTTTGAAATGCTGTCATCGAACTTAACAAATATTAGCCTTTCTTGCCGTATATAGAGACGTTAGGCACCCCACGGGCGCGGCTACCTCGGGTTATATGTAATAGTGGTCATACACACTTCACATGTATCACATATGATCTAACGACTTGTTTCACCATGCGTCAAATAGAGTTTCCTCGACGTATCTAACAGATCTGTGGAGAGAGAGATGGGGAGAGACTGTGAAAGATAGATAGAGAAGAGAAAGTGTGCGCGAGAAAGAGAGAGAGAGAGCGAGAGAGAGAGAGAGAGAGAGAGAGAGAGAGAGAGAGAGA